ATTTGCCATTTCTTTTAAAAAAATTTTTTTTTAGAAAAAGAAGAAGAAAGTAAGAGCATGAATCAGTTTTCTTTATTTTCTCTAGTAAGTCTAGGTGTCCAGTCTATCACTCTCTTCTGATTAGGGTCTTGTTAGAACTATTATCCCCTAGTACAATAAGTTTGAAGAAAAAAATCAAATAATAAGAAAAATCTGACAGCAAGACATGCTGTAATCCAAAATTTACAGTCTCTTCGATTGTACATATATGGTCTTGGGCTTAAGTAAATAATAGACGCTTCACTTAAATTTAAGTTATTCCAAATAAGAATAAAGAATGTTCTTATCATATCCTCACCGTTCATTATTTATCCAAGAAATATCAGTATTTCTTGTTCCTCATGCTTCTCAAAATTGCATAAAATCTGAATATTTTTAACCCCCCAAAATGAAATGGTTTGGTATCATAGAAAATTTTCTATCTACATGGTATAAGTGTTTAATATATGATCTTCACTAGCTCAATTATTATTTGCATAGACTTTTAAGGTAAGAGCTGATTATTTGTAAAATTACAAATATGTTAAATAAATATAGGAAAATTGAGTAATTTCCTAAGAATTTCAAATCTAGTTAATACAGACACACACAACAAAGACTTGCAAAAACCTTTTTTTTTGAAGGGTAGAGAGAGCACACCTGGCTGTGCTCAGGGGTTACTTCTGTCTCTGTGCCCAAGGATCACTCCTGGCAGTGCTCAAGAGGACCATGTGTGGTGCTAGGTGTTGAATCAAGGTCAGTTGTATGGAAGGAAGTTCTTTAATCTATGTACAATCTCTTACTACACACACACACACACACAAAAACCCAAAAACCTCTTAATTCTTTGAACCAGATTGTCTATATTCAAAACCTCTGAATAGAAGTTCTTTAATCTATATACAATCTCTTACTCCACACACACACACACACACACACACACACACACACACACACACACACACACAAAACCCAAAAACCTCTTAATTCTTTGAACCAGATTGTCTATATTCAAAACCTCTGAAAATTAGATGCTTACAAACAAAAACTCCCTCCGCTGTTAACTACTACTCTTTCTCTTTCCTCCAGGTCCTTCCAGTTTGGGTAAACAACTTCCTTTCTCTAACTATTTTCACCCTACGGATAAGCAAAATTTGGAGTTTCTTATAGTTAATTTTAAATATGAGTGGTGTCCTAGATCTTTGACTTAAGATAGAGCTTTTTTGATTTAAAAAGATTTTATTTCTGGAAATAACTCAAACTAGAAGTCTTCATGGTAATGGTTTCTTGTTGACTCACACTGCCTCTGTTAACCTTAGATCTACATGACAAAGAGACATAAACTGGAAGTTAAAAGCAAAAAAGCCTGCTTTGAACACCTTGTAGAAAGTCTATCTGAATCTTTGGGGGAAGCTTTATATTTCACTCTACGCATGTGCTTTTCTGCCAATTCTGGTATCTGTTTCAATTCTACATTGGTCTTGATTAGTTGATTTTTTTTCTAATTTTTTGGCCATATTTTCTTGCTTCTTTGCATGCTATATATTTATTGATTAGATATTAGAGGTTGCTACTTTTTTCTTGATTTTCTATTTTTGCATTTCTATAAATATGCTTGAATATGGTTCTAACTTCAGTTAAATTCTTTGGAATCCTGTTTATGCTTTTGTTTATTATTTATTTTTTGTTATATTTGAACTAAGACTCAAATCTTAGTCTCCACTAAAGCAAGACTGCCCTGAATTTTAGACTCAGTACCTTATGTTTTTCTGGCTGGTAGAAGCTGTTAGTTTTGGTGAGAACATATACCAATTCTAGCCCTGTAAGAATGCTAGACACTATTTCCTTTGACTTCCTCATAACAGTAATTCTCCTTCTCCACCTCCATTCTGGCTTTGTTTTTTCCAAGTACTTTCAAAGAACATTAATTTCTTTATCTTCCTTGAAAAATAATTGGTTTTCATATTGCTATATTCCTGTTACAGGTAAGAGTTAGTGGTTGTTTGTTATTGGTTGAAAGAGACAGAATTCTCAGTCATTTTTGCTTGTTTGTTTTGGGTACCCATTGCTCATGGCTTATACCTACTCCTGTGTTCAGGAATCACTCCTGGCAGTACTTAGGGGACCACATAGGGTGTTAGGGGTTGAATCCGTGTCTGCTCTGTGCAAGACAACAAACACCCTACCCAACAAACCATCACTCTGGCCCCAAATTCTCAGTCATGTTTATAATTTAAAAATAGGATGACTGCCCTGGAATCTAGTATGCTAATAAAATAGATGCATCTGAGGATTTCAAACAAAATCCCAGTCTTGAGAGTCAAGTATCAGATAATGTAAATAAAATAATCCATTTCTCCCAAGCTACTTATATTTTGCAAAGCGATAGCACAGCGGTAGGGCATTTGCCTTGCACACAGCCAACATGGCCGACCCGAGTTCGATTCCTCCGCCCCTCTCGGAGAGCCCGGCAAGCTACCGAGAGTATCTCGCCCGCACGGCAGAGCCTGGCAAGCTCTCAGTGACGTATTTGATATGCAAAACACAGTAACAACAAAGTCTCCAATGGAGACGTTACTGGGCCCGCTCGAGCAAATCGACGAACAACGGAAGGGCCTTTATTTACTTTACTTATTAATAATATAGTAGAGAAAGATACTGTAGAGAATTTTATGTTCAGAAGCAACAAAATGGTTAGTAAAAAAAAAGTTTTTTCTTCTTTAGAAAAGCAACTTCATCTTTTTGACATTTTTTTTTCATTTTCATTTCATCATCCTGTTAATCGTCGATTGCCTCGAGCAGGCCCCAGTAACGTCTCTTTCATCCTGGCCCTGAGATTATATTCAAGGCTATTTAGGAGAATGAGACCCATCATTGTTACTGGTATTTGGCATATTTGGTACGCCACGGGGAGTTTGCCAGACTCTGCCCTGTGGGCAGGCTACATTTGATAGCCTGCAAGTTTGTCCAAAGTAGGAATGAGACAACAAGTTGTCATAAAAAAAAGTTATGATAAGATGTCGCGCGGCCGCGTGGTTCCAGGATCGGGATTTTATAGTCTCTGAGTCTTGGCCGCTGATGGGATTACACGGCGCTAGGGGGCAAGGTGGTGGGTGTGACCCCCGCCTGCTAGAATTTGGAGGATCTGGATGGAAGATGCTCGACTCCAATCCAAGTAGGCTTGGAGGTCTCGGCCCCGGAACCCGCATGGCTTTGTCCCTCTGCCAGTACCTTCATGTGTGCGGAGAGTGGTCTCAGCATGTGGTGGCTGGTCCTGGAGGTCTTCGGCTGCCGGAGCCCCGGTCGGGGCGGGGAGGAAAGCTCAACCCGCTCCCCTCCAAGGGGTCCCGGCGAGGGACACCCAGGCGCGGGGGCAAAAGACTGCACTGTTCTCGTCCGGGATCGGGATTTTATAGTCTCTGAGTCTTGGCCGCTGATGGGATTACACGGCGCCAGGGGGCCAGGTGGTGGGTGTGACCCCTGCCTGCTGGAATTTGGAGGATCTTTTTGACATAGTATAGTGTAGTATCTTTTTGACATAGTTGAATTATATTTTATGTGAGCCTCTAAACTGTGCTAATGATTTCCAAGTGGTCTTTACAGTAGGTAAGCCTTCACTGCAAGAAATAGTGAGTTAGAAGGTAAGTGGGAATGGCGATTTTACAAGCTTCTCTCTGTGTTAGGATCAAGGTGATCTTTAAATACCTAACTCTCCACTGTCTATGAGCTTGAAAGAATTGTTGATCTTGTGTTCTCCTGATTACATATGAGCCATCATTTTTCAAGATATAAATATTCTGAAATTTTTATCAAACTTGAATTCGCATCAACCTCACAGTTCTTCCTGTATTTTATCTAGTTCTGTGAAACACTTGTTTGTGTTTAGAGTATTCTCTTTAAAAATTACTTCACAGCTCAAACACTTAGCCCAGATGCAGTAATAATGGCCACCATCTCCTGTGTATGTTTTCCATCCAGATTAAGCAATAATCACTTAAGATTTTGGTCATGTCTGTATGGGTGGGGAATAATCTACCTCAATTGATAGAGATGTTGTTGTTGACATCCTAGGAAACATCTTTTATTATACTTGAGTTGGAAATTGGAAACAAATTACACGAATACAGTTTTAGGCAGTTTAAAATCACTTTGTATAGGTTAAGTGAGGTTAATCTTCAAATACACTTTCAATTCAGGATCAAGTCCAAACTTCAAAATATTCATTTGATTTTGACTGTCTCTCAATTTATTCAATTGCATTGGGTATGCTTAGCAGAGATTCTGAAGTAGAAATTCAAACAGGTAATGAACAGCAATTTATTTGTATATAAGCCAATTGTTTTAGGAAAAAGTTTAGTTAAAATAAGTAGTTTGTTAATTTGAAACAAATAAGTCTAAGCATCTAGCTGGAGTTTAAATCCCTGCCTTCCTTTTTAATCTTCCTAAATACATTATAAAAATTCTGCTTTAGGTAAATCCTCCCATGCCCTCCCCCAAAAGGGAATTAAGAATCACATTTAGAACTTTAAACCAAATAAGATTAACAGATACTCTTTACCAAAACTCATTTCATCTGACTTAATTAATATCAGTTTTCACAAATAAGAATGCTTTCCAAATAGGACAATGAATAAAGGACTAAAGGTGTTCCTTCATGCCCATTCATACATTATCCATGTCTTACTTGCATTTTCATGGCCACACAGATGATTACAGTTGTGTAACTATGGTAGTCCCAGCAAGTATCGAGGTCCAACTTTGCATTGCATTTCTGTAGTAAATGTGACAAGCTTTGATAAATAACCTCATTGAAAGCTAGATTTATGTTGGAACCGAGAATATCATTTGATGGAGAAGATATTTCATTCTCCCTTTCCAAAGAGTTAACCACAGTTGCTATAACAAACTTTAATCAGGCTACTTATGGTTGGAAAGAATTTATCACTTGTTTATAGAATGCTTCTGTTTTTATTTGTCCACAGAGACTTAAAGAATTAAAACAACGGGAGTTTGCTCGAAATGTAGCTTCCAAGTCTTGGAAAGATGAGAAAAAACAAGAAAAAGCACTTAAACGACTTCATCAGCTGGCTGAATTAAGACAACAGTCTGAATGGTAAGAGTTATAGATATCTTGAATGACTCAACTCTTTAATTTCTGGGGAGATTTCAATGATGAACTTCCTTGTTTCCTATATTAATATAAATAAATTGTAAGTAATATATATGTCTGAAGGCAAATGCATCTAATTGCTAAAAGGTTTCTGCATTATTATTTTGTATCTGATTTTTCTTCCTAATGTTATTAATTTAATGTACTCTTTAATAGTATGATCCACAAATTATTATAATATACAAGTATTTGTTCTATTTAGTTTACTTAAAGGTACCTACATGGCTTTTTAGTAACTATGTTGTCCTTCAGTAGCAAGTTTTAAACTATAAATAACAATATATTTTGTGGAAAAATAAATCTTCTCTACATTTAGAATAAATAACCTTATCATTTTCTAGATGACAAATGAGATATAAGTAATGTAGTTAAATTTATTACACAGTGCCATTTAAATTTGTAATTATAACAAGTATTACATTAATATGTTCCTGTAGCTAAAAAATAGTTTTACATATCGTTGTAATCACTTTATGTTTTGGAGTTATGAAATTGTTACCTGGAACACAATTAAACTTTCAAATTGTGATTTGTGTACATATTAATTATAATGTAGATCCCTAATGCAACTAATTAATGCTGTAACAGTAAACTGATGAATTGTGAAATTTGTAGTTCTATGCCCAAATTTAAATCCCTGTTGTTTTAATGAAAAACAGCATACACTAAACCTGAAATTCAATACATCCATTATAGTACTATAAAATGTTAGACTTCACAATTTAATTTAAGAAAATAATTCTTTTTTTAGAATCAATTATGATTAAATTTATAGTTTGTTTCATGCTTCCATATATTCATATAATTGCAACACTACCATAGAATAATTTTATAAATCTGTGGAATACATCCATAATTGCATTGAAACGTGAATGATTTGATATCAAGTTAGAAAACTTTGTAGAGACAAGTTTATACAGAAATGCTTGGTCTTAGGTTCCAAATAATTATGCAAATAGAACATAATTTGCACTGAGCATTTTACCAGTCAATATCCCAAATGTCTATGTTATGTTCTGAAAAAATTCTCAGTAAGATGTAGGGCAGTACTTGTCAAAATAGGACATCGAGCTGCTGGAAGGTAATACAGCATTGTCCTCGTAATCTTGACACCATAGGACCTGAGGATGTGAATATATATTAAACTAATAGTCTATTACCCCAGAATTACTCAGGTGTCTCTGGAGTCTCCTGAGCAGCACTTGAGAGTACCCCTGGCCTCACCCCTGCCTGCCCAGATGGACATAGAAAGCCTAATGGTTATATTAGCATCTTGTGAAAACAAAAAAATCTAAGGATGATGTTGATTCCTAGATGTTTGATTATGGAATTTAATAGGTCAGATTGTTAAGAAGTAGGACAAGCCTCAATAGAGAGAGACAGCTTTTTCATGGACGCTTTAAGGCTACATCAGCAAATATAAATAGCTTTATTCCTAAAGCCAACAGTTGTTTTGTTATCATGAAAGTGGTCATCTTTTTATATTCCTCTAACCTGGTCCATATTTTCCTTTTAGAGAATCTGAGGAGCCTGGATGAAGATGATGATAGTGACAGCATGAGTTTTTGTTAAAACTTTTAAATTTGCAGAGCTGGCCACTAATTCTCCTTCAAAAAAAAAACATATTCAAAGGCCTACTTTATTAGGTTAAAACTATTCCTCCGGAAATATTAACTAAAACTACTTATTTTGTGTTGGTGTCCTATAATACAGTAGGCAGGCTTTCTAGGTTCCAGTATGTTCATATTGCTAGGAAAATGAAAAGAGTTTATTTTTTGCAAGACAAAACCTGAAACTAGGAAACTTATTTCATCATCATTTACGACCCACAATCTGCTCTCAATTGTTTTCTTTGTAAGCATCACCTAAGAGAAATCACATAATATAATTGTAATATCTTTTTATTTTAGAAAGTAAAATAAAAAATAAAACTAAAAATATTTTTAAGTAAGACTGTTTATATGTATTACCCTCCCTCTGGATAACCTTCATTTGTCATTTAGTCTCATCTTGAAATATTTTAAAAATGAGAAAATTCTTTCCCCTTTAGAAAAAGCAGTGAACTAAATGAGAGCAAGAATAATTTCAGCAACCCGGTGAAAAACTATGGCATAAAACTGTTAAAAAATCTTATAAATACCCATCAACTTTAAATTTCTTATGTGGTTCAACCTCATCTGGTTCCTATTTCTCTATTCTTTGGCAGGGGGGTCACATCTGGTGATGCACAGGGGTTATTCCTGGCTCATACACTCAGAAATTACTCCTGAAAGTGCTCAGGGGAACATATGGCATGCTGGGAACTGAACCTTGGTTGGCTGCATGCGAGGCAAACACCCTACCTGCTGTGCTATGGCCCCAGCCCCAAGGCCAGTAATTTCTGAGGGGTGTTTCTCTCTCTGGTTGTGTTGCAGCATAATGCATCTTGGTAAAGACTTTCCTCCCCAATATTTGAAAACAGAAGCTAGGAAATATGGTTATTAGGAAAGAACATGATGTAAAGAAACCATCTCTCTCTTTTTCTCTCTCATTCTCTCTCTCTGTTTTGTTTTCTATTTAGAAAGCATATTTTTAACTGAGAGGAGAATTAAACTATGTGTAGAATAAGTATCAAGGGTTAAAAGATTTGAAGAACTGCTGGAATAGACATTTCATTAATAAGAATGAGTTACTGTTATAATCACCTTACCAGTCATTATATATAAAAATGTGTAGAAGAGGGCCGGGACAATTGTACAGTGGGTAGGATGTTTGCCTTGCACATGGCCAACCTGGGTTCAATCTCCAGCATTCAATATGGTCCCTCAAGCACCACCAGAACTAATTCCCGAGTGTAGGAGTAACATCTCTGGGTGTGACCAAAAAGCAAAAAAAAAAAAAGTAAAATATGAAGAAATTGGGGCCAGGGCCATAGTACAATGGATTGAGTGCTTGCCTTGCAAGGGCACCTTGGTTAGATCTAACCTTGGTTAGATTCTGGCATCCCATATGTTCTTCCAAGTCTGCTGAACGTGATCCCTGAGCACAAAGCCAGGAGTAAACTATGAGCACCACCAAGTATGGCTTAAAACTGCAAAGTAAATAAACAATTAAAAAATGCAGAAATAAACTAAGGAAATTATTAGAGAAGGCATGAAATTGTGAGAAATAACTCTAAAAATGAAACCTTAAGTATGTTGTAAGGTTTAAACTTAGCATTTTCTAAATTAATAAAAGGAAATTAAGTTTAAGGACATTAAGCAATAAAAAAATAGAAAGTTTAAAGCATGAAAATAAGGGGAAATATTAAAATTAGAATAAAATGTTTAAACTTATGAAAAAATATTATTACAAATATAGATTGGATATTAAAGTGAGAATAAAATTAAGGACAAGAAGGAAAAATATAACGCAACATCAAGGTATACAAGGAACCATAAATGGAAAAAGATCGCATATTAAAGACATAAATGATGAAACAGCAATAGAGAAAACAAGATTTAATTAACACAAATAGAAGCAGAGAATACACATAACAGTGACAGTAAAATTGCAAAAGCATTATTAAGAAAAATAAACAGACATAATGATAACAAATAAAATGTCTGTATCACAATCAAAGCATGTAGCAGGGATAATAAGATCTGTAATCTAAAATTGGGGAATAATCTAGACTATCTTTAGGGCATATTAGATTGGTTGGGGCTGGAACGATAGCACAGTGGGTAGGGCATTTGCCTTGCACTCAGCCAACATGGCCGACCCGAGTTTGATTCCTCTGCCCCTCTCGGAGAGCCCAGCAAGCTACCATGAGTATTTCGCCCTCACGGCAAAGCCTGGCAAACTGCCCGTGATGTATTTGATATGCCAAACATAGTAACAACAAGTCTCACAATGAAGACGTTACTGGGCCCGCTTGAGCAACTCGATGAACAATGAGATCACAGTGATAGTAGACTGGTTGAAATTCCTAGAAAAAGATTATTTAATAAAGAATTTAAACTCCTATTTAACCCAAAGATAAGATACAGTCATGAGAAAGAATTTCTGGCATTCACTACTGCACATGTTTCTCCCAAATATGTTAGCATGACTCTGTGCTTCCTATCGTTGTGTGTGTATAAAATAAAAATTTAATAAGTTATACACTATTTTAGACTTTTCTTCATTTCACATATTGTGTACACTAAAATACCTCTCTGAAACATGAAAAAGTGAGTGACAAAAATAGAGCTGAATGTGATGAACAAGAGGAATGTGTTCATTATAAATAATTATAGGGAACTACACAATTTCAGAAGTTTATAAATATACTTTCCATAAGAATCAAGTTAATGCTACAACTTTATTTGTTCGACTTGTTTTGGGTACCAAACCCAGTGGTGTTTAGGGTTACTCCTGCCTCTGTACTCAGGAACCAATCCTCACAGTGTGCTCAGGGTACCATACTAGTGTGAAGGAGTAAACCAAGGTCAGTCATGTGCAAGTCAAATGTCTAATCTCTGTATTGTCTCTCTATTCCCAGAGGATACTATAACTATAAATCTACAAGGATTTTTTTTTCATAAAAGGGGGACAACTTGTAATCATTGAGAACTGGATGACAACTATAATAATTATTTTAGCACACAAATTCTCATGAGCAGAATAAACATAAATTTGAAACAAGTAAATAGTGAATTAATTAAATCAAAGTTGAAAACAAGATGTTCTCTATGAATTATAGTAAAAGATACTTATACCCCTAGACTATACTAATGTTTAGAAATTTACTTATTAAATTGGATGGTGATCTCATATGCTATTGCATAACTGAATGTAGGAGTTATAAAAAGATGTTTAAAGATAAATTTGTGTATTATTAGTAGTAAATATTTTATTTGAATAACATTTTATATACTTTGGTTGTGTATAAAAAAGTTTGGGTAAACGAGAAAACCACATGGCAAAGACTTAAGACTTCCTGGTCTAAAAGGCACAAGAAGCACAGCAATAAGCTCTAAACATACACATTCAGGAAAATCAACAAACTTAGCACGCAATGTTCAGGACAAGAAATAATTCTAGGACAGGAAAGAAGGAATCATCTACAAAATCAGAGAAGAAAATGCAAACTCGCTTTTCAAGACTATGTTCTCATTGAAAACGTATCTGTTTTTTTCCTTTGCTTTTTCCACCCTAGAGAAGCCCATTTTCGCTTTGAACACATGTTCATTCCTTCATTCCTCTCTTTTCATCCCCTCACATATTTATAAGTAATTTCTTTCAACAAAAATATTTTGCTTTACCAAAAAAAATATCAGGACTGAAAAACATTGAATTGAAAGTGTCCAGAAGTATTGGTAAGATTTAACCAAAGGAAATAAAGAAATCGATCTATAATTATGTTCTGATTACAGAATATACACTTATATGTATAGCACAGTTATATATGCTATAAATATGTATGTTAAGCATGTATACTTACCATGCATATGTTTTTACACATACGCATATTATATATGTACAACATAACACAGAGATTTATACCTATATATAAAACAGAAACTGTGATATAGTATAGAGTGCTATTATAAAAAGGAAATATATAAAATCCAGCAAATACCAGAGCATATTTATTTCAAAAGATGAATGAAAAGAGACAAAATGTGTCTTCTGTAAAATTAAGTATATAAAGTCAATGAAGTAAACAAAATGAAATTTAGTATACAAAGTATTGTGACACTTGAGTTCTGCATTAATTGGCATAAAATTGTCATAAATCAAGGTAACAAGTAAGAATTTCTCAGAACAAGGCCTGAGAAAGCTTTTCTTCTCATTAGAATTTAAGTCACGTATGAAAAGAATATCAGTGCCTCAAGTTTTGTATACACATATAACAAATAATTGAATAAAAATAAAATAAAAATGTAAAATTTAAAAATTAACAGAAGCCTATAAAAATCAAAGCAAAGAAACAGATAAAGGTTATGATTTGTATTCTTTAACAATGAGAAACTTTTTTTTTAATAGTAGATCTCTGTGTTTCGCTTTTGTTTAGGGGCCATACCAGCATTGCTCAGTCCTCATTCCTGACTTTCAGGAGAACTTATGGAATGCAAAAGGATTAATTTAGCTCAACAGTGTTGAAGAAAAGCATCTTACCTGCTATACAATTGCTACAGTCCCTATAGTAGAGATTTAGAGGTGGAATATCAAAGTAGCAATGTCCATCTAATGAATTTTATCCCTGCTCTTTGTTTTGTTTTTGCTTTGGAGTCACACCTTGAAGTGCCCAGGGTTATTCCTGGCTCCAAGATCAGCAATTACTGCTGGTGGTGCTCCTGGGCCTATATCGGGTGCCAGGAATCAATCTCAGGCCAGCTGCATACCAGACAAGCATCCTTCCCCCTATGATCACTCTGATCCCAAGAACTTCATCTCTTATATATTACTGTTTCCAGGGCTTCAATTTGATTGCTAATTAAGCTCAGTGGAATTAATATTTTAAGCTGCTAAAAGAATTTAAAATTGTACAAAAGACAAAAAAAATTATGAGTGAAGGAAACATTTTAAAATAATTGAAGATATTAAAATGGCTTATATATGTATAATTCTTTATTATAAATTTATTATAATCAAATTTTTGACAAGTCATAAAGAACTAGCCATTTATTTTAAAAGGAAGCAAACAAGAGGGAATTTTTTTTTGATTGAACCACAATGAGATACACAGTTAACAAAATTGGTCATGATTGAGTTTCAGTTATATAATGTTCCAACACCTCTCCCTTCAATGAGGGAAATTTAAAACTAAGAAAACTAAAATTACTAAATATTAAAACTTGTACAGAAAAAGCATAGTGCTATTGAAACAATTTTTGTAACATTTTTGAAGGACATTCATGAACATTATCATAAAATATTCACCTCCCAATTTTTTAATTTAATTTTCAAAGAATATATTTAAATGGCACATATCATAACTAGTCACTCTAAGCATAGATATGCTGAATTATGTAAACACAGAAACATAGTTTTATTACATTTTACATAATTAAAAATATAGCATGTGGGCTCAGAGAATTAACACAACAGGCAGGGCACTTTCCTTGCTTGTGGCCAACTCAGATTGGATCTCAGGCACCTGATATTGTTCCTGCAAGCTCCTTTGGCTCATAGCCAGGAGGAAGACCTGAGCAAAGCCAGAAGTAGCTAAAATAAATAAATAATAAAAAATCATAACCAATCATAGAAAAAGTATAATGCTTACACATAAGATAAAACTTATATTTTTAAATCATTCAAATATGTATTTTATTTGCAGTGTTTCTGGGAGTGGACCAGCAAACAAAGCCCCCAGAGTGGCTTTAGAAAAACAACTTCAGCAAGGAATTTTTCCAGTTAAGAACAGCAGAAAGCTATCCTGCATGAAGAATACTCTTCAAGGAAAAAATCTCTCCAGAAGCATCTCCAATAAACAGCGGACCACTGTGCCAAACCGACACCAATTACAAACAGACAGACGTTATTTGTTTGGAAATCAGGTGCAACAAACATCTTCAGATCTTAGCAATGCAAATCATAGGACAGGAGTATCATTTTCTTTTTCCAAAAAAGTGCATCTAAAATTAGAATCTTCAGCATCAGTGTTCAGTGAGAACACAGAAGAAACTCATGATTGTAACAAGTCACCAATCTATAAAACTAAACAAACTGCAGAGAAATGCAAGTGCCGCAGATTTGCAAATGAGAATACACACTTCACTAAAGAAAAAGATATAAACATCTCACCAAGCCATCTGGAAAGTGTTTTACACAATACCTTCACCATAAGCTCTCAAATTCTGCAAAACAAAAATGACTCTACTGATGAAACACTGGAAGATTCACTTGGCATCCATGCTTCATTCTCTAAATCAAACATTCATCTTTCAGATGTGGATTTTACTCCTTCCAGCAGAGAGACAGAAACTAGAACTATATTGAAGAACACTTCAGAAAACTGCGTTAATTACTCATGCCAAGCGAACACTTTCTCCAGCCCACCAAACATTTATAAGCAGAGTGATGCCAGGATATTTGAATGTCTGGATGAGTTTCCATCACTAGAGCCAAGTGAACAAAACAGCACAGTTCATCTGAATTCAAAATGTAGAGTGAAGAATGGAGAAAAATCTCAAGATGAAACAGATAGAGGTAGCAAAAATGTGCAAAGGCTTGTAAGAGAAGCATGCCCCCATGGAGTGAAGTCTAAACCATTGCCTTTTCTCCACGTACAAAGCAAGGATGGCCAGACCACTCTCCAATGGCCTACAGAACTTCTGCTTTTTACGAAAACTAAACCCTGTATCTCTTATGGCTGCAACCCATTATACTTTGATTTTAAGCTTTCTCGAAATACAAAAGATGGTGGTGATCTGGAGGACTTAAAAACAGAACTGAGTAAGGACCCATTGAAAGTGAAGAAAACAAGAGAGAGACAAGACTCAGGTTTAATCAAAAGCCAACAAAAATTGATCCAAGAAAATAATCAGCCTCTGAAACCAAAGATGATAGCTAATCCAGATTGGGAGAATAACCAGAGAAAATATAATTTGGACTGTGATGATTCTAAGCCAAATATGAGTCAGCATTATTTTGGTACAAGTGATTTGGCAATGAAAAATCCTGAAGTGCCTGCTTACCTTGATATCTCTCTAAAGAATTGTGTGGGGAACGATAAGAACAGTGATGATGAATTTCAGAAGCCTTCAAGGACTCACTGGCAAAACTGCCAGAGAGTAGCTCTCAATGATTCAAATGAAGGCCTGTCATTTTCTCCTTACATCTCTAGAACTAAAAAGCATACACTGATACACTGTCATCCTAATTCAGATTTTGAAGATGGAACTCAATTCACCTGGAATTCTAGCCTTTATGCACTGGAGGGCCACGGTGACCATGAGAAGGACTTCAGTGTAATTTTCAATAGTAACCACATCAACATGACTAACACAGTCTCTGGGTGTGGAAATCAAAGTTTCAAGGGAATTTCTCCCAAGTCATCTCTGAACAGAGAGTCTAGTCCTTCAGACACAACCCCTGCCAGCACATCCAGCTTAAGAAGTCCTTGTTCGGATCACAGATCCAATGGCAATGATGGCAGTGATATGCTCTACTTTTCTAAGGGAGCACAGGACTCAGTTGAGAGGCACATACGGAAACGCCAAAAGCACAATTGCATCTATTGGTCTGAGAGAGCAAAGGGTGACTGTCTACCTACTGACACACAGAGAGAAAAGAACTTCAAATTATTGGCATCATTTAAAAATGAAAAATATTCAAAACATAGATATGGCTACTGTAGAGAAAGAAATAAACTAGGCAAAAGTCAACAATTTTCAAGTCCCACATCCAGGAGAATATTCCATTATGATATTAACACACAGGTTACTTGTGCTGGAAACAAGGAAAAATCACTAAATTGCCCAGGACCTCAGCACAGCCTATTAAGTTCTTACTCAAGGAAAAAAGTTTATTACTTAAATGAAAGCAAAAGTAATCAAGAGTATTTGGAGAGCCCTCACATGTGTGACCTTCAAAAAGTGAACTCCATTAAGTCTAACTCTAGCAATATCAACTGCCTTCTTAGGACTTGTTCCAGCAGCCCTTCAGAAGTAACAGAGTTGACAATTACAGAAAGCGAAAGAGCCCCCTTGACAGCCAAAAATCTTCTAGAAAGAATAAAAGCCAAGAGGGAACAGTCAACTGATTCTGGAGTCTCATCAAACAGGTGCAAAAATGAATCAGAAGCACATTCACAAATTCAATGTACAATTCAATTTACAGCTCCAGGCTGTAATAGGCCAGCATTGTCATTATCTGATCAGATACAGAGCAGGAGTCAAGGAACTGAAACAGGCAGTACAGTTCAAAGAATTATTGAGAAGGACAAAGTTAAAAGTTCACAGACAAATAATTTTACAGTTTTAGTAGACACTAATTGTGATAACCATCCTTCTAAAGGTATAATTCACATGGGAGCAGAGTATCAATTGCCAAACATAAAAATGAACACAACCACAAAAGAACAATCAAGACCTCTAATTGGTGAACCATTTATTCAAAACTGTGATTCGGTATTAAATAATGTACCTGGTGTTTTCCCTTCTGACAGATACACTGGTGTGACTGATTCAACAGAGACCAAAGAAAACCAAATAAATGTAGACTTACAGGATGTAAGCATGCATTTGAATTATGTAGAGGGAAATATAAACTCTTACTGTGACATAAATATGCAGAGGCATGACAATGTAGAAGATGAATTAGGAGTATATCATAAATCTCTCTCTCCTCCTTTAATTCAACAGCCAATAACATTTTCTCCTGATGAAATAGATAAATATAAGCTCCTTCAACTACAAGCCCAGCAGCACATGCAGAAACAGCTCCGATCAAAACATCTCCGAGTTTTGCCTGCTGCAGGGCCAGCTGCCTTTTCTCCAGCCTCAACTGTCCATACAGTTCCACTTCACCAGCATGCTTCTATCACCACCATCCACCACACATTTCTACAGCATTTTGCTGTTTCTACTTCCATAAACCCCCAAAGCAGTCACCTCCCAATAACTCAGTTGCATCCTCTTTCACAGTCTCATTTTTCCCCATTCACATTTTCTCCTCTAATGCCAACCATCCTCCCCACACACCCCACTTTCTTAGCTGGTCATCCCCTACATTTGGTTACAGCTACCCCTTTCCAAACACCTCATATTACTCTTCAACCTCTGTCTCCTACAGCCTTTCTCCCTGCCTTGTTTGGTCCTCACATAAGCCCGGCCACAACTTCAATCATCCATCTGAATCCTTTAATCCAACCTGTCTTTCAAAGTCAGGATCTTTGCCATCGTTCTTGCTCCAGTCAGATGCAACAGTTAAATGGAGTAAAAGAAGCCTTAAATGTGTCAGCACATTTGAACTAATAAGCATTAGAGCCCCTCTTGTGTCTAAATAAAATTGTCACTACCTACAAAATGATATATTTTAGTGGTATGATTATTATAAGACTAAGTATGTTGATATCAATTTGAAATTTGACCAATATATCATTAAAAACCAAACTGTCAATATCAAAAAAGGATCATTTTAAACATCTTGTTTAACTTTTGAAAGTAATAGAGAAGATTAAAATTAATTTTATGGAAATATAGAAGATATGTGTTAAAATCTGTTTGGAAGATTTCTCACATAATATTTTACAAAGGTAAAATTTAGCAGGTCATTTATAAAGAAGCTCAAGTAAATCATAATATATGTTCTAGGAGTTTGCTGAATGAATGAATGGGTGGATATTTTATTTTATTTATCAGGTTAACAAAAGTGAAATGAAATAAATATTAAAATAATCACTGTGGTTAGTTATTGACTAAGATCCTAATATAATGTTTTATTAAACAATAATATCATCATAGGAAATAAGAGATAGTAAGAATTTTCCTGTGTAATGGAGGTTGAGTCTTCAATTAAAACAATCTTTTATAGATTGTGTTTTGGAGTTTCGATGAAAAAGTTGGGTTATATTCTTTTCACACACAACTATGTCAAGAAAAACTTGAAAGTAAAGAATCACCAAAATAAACAATGTTTGTTTTGTGTTAGAAAGCATACATATGCTGTCATTAATACTTTATAAGGTAAAAAAAAAAACCTAAAATATAATCATAAAACAATGTAAATATATTAGTTAATCTTTCAAATACTTTTGGAATTACAATTTTTTTATTCTTTTACTCAGTAATCTTACTGTGTCCACTTATTAACATGGATAAGTGGGTGATAAATGTTAGGAAATACAGATATTTATCATATTCATTGACAAAAATCTTATAAAGTATTTGTTGTGTTTTATTTAATTGTATTAGATATTTCTAAGACAGGGTAATGAATAAATCACCAAACATGCATTTTTTCAAATTTTCAATGATTGTCCTGGAATTTGTTATGAGTGGCACTTTGTTAATTTACATCTTGAAGTGAAATATCAGTCATAATACCAGAAAGTATTAAAAAACAATATAAACTCTACCACTAGAAGATGAAAAGCTTGTTCATCTTGACTTTTCAGGTAAGAAAGGGCTGTATTTACTGAAAACCTATTATGTATCAGTAGGCTAAATTAAGCACTTGGCTGTCATGAACTCATTTAATTGTCACAGCTATATGTTGAGAGCAGTTTATCATTCCTCTTTTCCAAAGCAGAAATTGAAGTTTAAAAGTTAAATTCTTCATACTTGACAAAAAAAATCAATGAAATGAGAGAATGAGCTTGGTAAGATCTAATGAGGGAGGAGAGAATGGTTAGATTTAAAATTTCAACATAAATTACATAGTATCCTACGTGTCACCAGAGACATGTAGGGAAGAAATTTTTACTGGAATGTGATGTGGTGAAGTCGGACTTATATAAAAGGAGGATGAGAGAAAAGAGAAAAGTCATATAATAGGAAGAAATTCTAAACTAGTGTGGAATTTCATAAAAATTATTATGAAAGAATAAATGGAAGGATTTTTTAATCTAAAAGACCCAGCAAATGGAAAAAAGAATGATGTTGTTGACTATTTTCTAAAACATTGCAAAACTTATGTAGAGCCAAGATGTAGTAATTATGAGAACTCAATAGAAATCTTATAATGAAATAGACTGCAGCTGATTAATTTTTATAATTGTCTTGGGAGACAATTTAATCTCTCAGAAGTCTAGACCACAGAACCTCTACTGAGTACTTAATTTTAAATAACAAAATTAGATTGATATGAGTTGATGACATGGAAATGACTATCTCAAGTTATCAGCGATAAAAAATTTTTATTGGATAAAGTATCTTGGACAGCGGGAAAGTAGACTTCAGTAAGTAAAAGTTAATTTGTAGAGCAAGTGAGAAATTGTCAAAGTTGTGATATCATAGGAGATATTAAAAAATCTACCCTTGAGAAGGAAAAAGGTAGTCTTTTAAATAATCCTTAATAAACTTAAAGGAAAAAACTTTAATAATAGTCTTCAAAGTGCCATTTGTCTAATTAGTAGCACAATAGTCATGGATTAAAATAAACACATAATAGGTAATTGTCTTTTAAACACCTTGTTTATTGAGAAAAGAAAATGAAGTGGATATTCTGCATATGCTTATTATTTACTAGTAGGAGCAGATAATCTAATAAGAAAAGGAGGACTAGTGTTAAATTAATTGATTTTACACAAATTTCTCTATAAAGGAGAAATTTCTTCAAGTGGAAATTGTAAAACCATAAAGAATTAAGAAATGTTAAATTGTACCACAGAGAATTATCTAACATAGTCTTCATGACATCATTTGTCCCTCAGAAAACACGCAGAATAGTAGCACTGTGCTGGATTTGCTCAAGTGAGCACCAGTAACGTCTCCATTGTGAAACTTGTTGTTACTGTTTTTGGCATATTGAATACACCACAGGTAGCTTGCCATGCTTTGCCCTGTGGGCACAATACTCTCGGTAGTTTGCTGGGTTCTCTGAGAGGGGCAGAAGAATCAAACCTGGGTTGGCCTGGGTTGCCTGTGTGCAAGGCAAATGCCCTACCTGCTGTGCTATCGCTCCAGCCCACAAAGAATAGTAGAAAAGATAAATCAAATGTTTCTTTTTATGAGGTTAATAGCATTGCATAAAGTTACTGTTAATTTAAAAGTTGAGTTATACAGATAAATCCTAGAATAGCCAAGTAAAACATACACTTTGATAATGATAAATGTTATGGGAGGAAAAACACAAAACACAGAAAATGTACTCTATGAATGTAGCAGATAAAGTAAAATAATAAATAAATTGGAGAGGACAGGATTTGCTGTAAATATGTTGTTTCAGTAAAGTTGTGAAGCAAACAAAGGAGTGAGGATTCTAAGCTAAGCTAAGAGTAACAGTCAGATGTAATTTGCTGTGGTCAAAATATATTCTGAACACACTTTATATGGTAAATTTTCAGAGGAAGAATTATAGGAAGTAATGTTATAAAAGGAATTGTGGAGTAACATTATAAGATCTTTATTGTGCATAAGAAACTATTAGTTAATTCTGACAATATATGTCATCTTAGATTTTACAAGTTTTATTCAGTAATTAGAGAAGCTAATTATTTAAATAATGTGAATAAGCTCTGTGCTATTGCTCCAGCAAATAATCTCTGAGCTGGAGCGATAGCACAGCAGGTAAGGTGTGTTCCTTGCTGACCGAGTCGGGTTCAATTCCTTCACCTCTCTTGGAGAGCCCGGCAAGCCACTCTATTGAGACTATCTCGCCGGCACGGCAAAACCTGGCAAGCTATCCGTGACGTATTCGATATGCCAAACACAGTAACAAGTCTCAAAATGGAGATGTTACTGGCCCGCTCCAGCAAATCGAATAATCTCTAGATAAAGTAAAGTTAGGAATAGAACGGCCAATTAGTTGATAGAAAAATGTTTCATATAAATGCTTCACATTGAGTGTAGCGTATGATAGCAAAACGGAAGTTGTAAATAACAATAGTTTCTTGCACAACTAATTAAATGTTCTATTTAGTTCAACTGAAATGTGAATAGTGTGGGAGGAGTGGGCTAGTTGAGGAGGATAAGTTTATAATTCTGTATAAGATGTCTGTTAAATATTAGAGTGGAAATATTGAATTGATAATTCTAACTATGAATAGAGTTTGAATAAAGGACATTTGATTTTTTAAAACATTTATTCATAAAAAATTATTTAAAGTAGAGTGAAAGCTCAGTGGGTAGGGCGTTTGCCTTTTAAGCAGCCAACATGGCCAACCCTAGTTCGTTTCCTCCCCCCCTCTCAGAGAGCCTGGCAAGCTACCGAGAGTATCTCGCCCCCACAGCAAAGCCTGGCAAGCTACCTGTTACGTATTTGATATGCCAAACATAGTAACAATTGTCACAATGGAGACGTTACTAGGCCCGCTTGAGCAAATCCATGAACAATGGGAGGACAGCGACTGTGACAGTGACAGTCTGCACAGTAGCCCTGGGGATAAGTCTGGTCAAGATGTTCACATTAGAGACAAAGCCCTAAGAGTAGAAGAATAGAAGGACCAAGAAATAAGACTGTGGTGAATGTACAAGTTAGTAGAAAAGGGGCAAAACAATGTGTGCTCTATAGTACAAGTAATAAAAGTAATTTAGACAATGGACGATAATCAACCCTGATGTAAATTTCTGAGTCAAACAAGAAGACTAATGGAAAAACTAAATATTTCTTCAGTGTATAATGCTTCTTGTTACATTTATCAGGGATATAGTGGGTGATTGTATCAAAATATAAATGTAAAATCATATGTAAAATATGTGGAACATATCGCATAGACATTTCATGATTATTCTTATGGACAATGGTTGATCATGTGTGGTTAACATATTTTCAAAGCCAAACAGCTGTTCCTAATATACATTGAGTCCCAGACAGATTTAAAATTGGAGGAAGCTAAGAATAAGCCTTGGCCTCTATCAGGTATGGTTCCAAACCCAAAAATAAAAAGAAAATAAAATTAGAGGGAGTGTTGGAGAGACTGAGTCTAATGATTTGTGTGCATTGCATTGTAGTAAATGTAACATAAAAATATGAACAAAATTCTGGAAAGATCTATCTTGATAAAAACACAAACACAGAGAAAGCAAATGCAGTGAATGGGAAGTTACAATGTGTAAATAAAACACACACACACACACACACACACATAAAAATAGAACATTTGAAAGGTAAAATTCAGCAAGAATTAAAATAAAATTCTACATTTATATTTTGATTTTAAAATCATTACCCATGTAGATTGTTGGAGAGATTGAACCCAATTCCTGTAGACAGCAAACTCCAAGTAATAAGAAATTGGCAAAAATGATTAGAAGTACTATATTGTACAAAATGAATTCTACATCATTTTAAATAAAGGATTTCTCTTCTAACTTGGAAAATTAAGCCACTTGTACAACTGTTTTTTTTTCTACTAAGACAGTTATGAACTAGAATGATCCATAAAGGTAAATGTGGTCTGTCAATACACGAGACCACTTTTTATGCTAGTACTTATCATTAATGGCAGTTCTGTCAGTTTATAAAAATTAATGGGAAAATTCATTTGAAAAAGATATAGGGAATTTGAGGAGTAAGTAGGCTTATTTTGTTCAGTATATATCAACATCTTGCAAGCAAAAACTACTAGACATTTCCAGGATGCTCTAGAATGTATTGCA